GGCATTAGTTTGCATAAAGTTTGCAATATATTATCACACAATTCCAAAAGAAAGGGAAGGTCACAGGAAACTTAATCCATCCTTGTATGTTAGATTAATTTATATAAATCTGCATGTGAGCCTTCCTCTATAAAAACTGGGGGGGTTTTATGAGGTGTGGGATGCTCTGAGACTTTCCATTAAGTGTTACTCGCTATAACAAATTACCGTTATTATCCTGTGCATTTCTATTTCATAACATGTTGTGGTTTTTGTTAGTCTTTTGAAAATAATAAAACAGATTAAACTAAACAAGAGCTGCCCAGGGATAATAACAGTGTCTATAAAAAGAGAAACTCTCCAATTATGGTTTACAATATTATTAAATCATAAGAGGCCTTAAAAAAGGTTGAATGAGTCTTCATGTGTACAAGTGGATAAAAAGCATTGTATTGGAGCCTGGGGGTGCTGGTGATTATATACCATAACTGGATATGTAAGGGATTTGTCTGCGAGCCTGTACTCTTCCAGCATAGACCCCTCTGGTTCTGGGTCTGCGAGGATGAGGTTACCGAATCCCACTTGATTTCCAGGCCCTCTGTACAGGGAATTGCTTGCCTAGGGAGATGTGTCCCTGCCTGATGACTTAGAGGAGGAGTAAGTGCCCCTGGCTTGAGGGTAGTATGGGGCACCGTCCCTGCTCTACAAATGCCATTCTTCAAACGAGGCGGCTGTGCTGGAGGGAGGGAGCGCAAGTGGTTAACTGCGGGTGCTGATAGGTGTTGCTTATTCTTTTAAGAGCAAGAGTGATTTGCTTTCTTCTGTGCTTTTACAAGCTCTACTCAGTGGACCTTCAACAGCTGGTGCTTGTGAAAGTCTCTTTCTGAGGGTGGAGCTATGTAATTCCTTTTCCTAGAGTGAATGGTGGAGGAGTGGAAAAGCTGCTGTGGGTGGCAAGGCAAACTACACCACTGTTCCTGGAAAACGTCCATTCGCCTTAACAAAATCAAGAAATTTCTGTGTTAGTCATATACCTTTTATTTTGGTATACCTTCTGCTTGGGCATGTAGTTTTGGCAGCGCTCTGCCTTGGGTGTGACGTGCTGAACCACACGTGCTGCAACACTTGGACACAAAGACGGGTGTTGGGACAAGAGTCTTTGCTTGAATACATGTTCCAGTGCGGCCTTCTCTGCCCTGAGTGGGCGTGTGATCGATGCTGAGATTTCTGTAATGAGTTTTTATTTTGGTGGTAGTTTGGGTGATGCTGATCAGCTCTATTAGAAGATACCTGTCAATGTCACCTAGTGTTGAGAGACTGCTCCTTGGTATAGGTGTTCTTCCCCTCCTTTTCCCCTGGGCCTTTTGAGGGCCTTTGCATTTGAACTGCCATTCACCACTTCTCAGGAGGCTTAGCACACTCTAAGGAGGTGTTGAAGCAATGCAAAACTCTTCTTCTCTGAGTGTTTCGTGGGCAGCTCCCCTGAGGAAAGACCTTGTCTGAGATGGTGGTGTCTCTCCTTTCAAGTGTCTCCATTCCTAGGAGCGTGGTCACTTGCGTTATTCGGTCCCAAATCTTTAGAGTAGAAAGACCTCTCTGCAAACACCTCTCTGGTTTGACAAGCAGTCAGTTCAAAAAGCTTGGCCAGCCCAAAGCATCTGCTCTCCTGGCTGTGTGCTCTACCAAGGCCATAACATGTATCTTACAAGTTGTGCTTTAGCTCACACAGATGTTATGATCTTCATGCAGAAGCAGCTAAGATCTTCCAGCCCACACAATGCTGCAAACTAAAATGATGGGAGTATTGATGTCTTTGGGGCTTGCAACTTAAAAAATGAAAGAATTTCCCCATTTGTGGGCTAGTTTAGATATGGAAATATAAGGACCACCCCCCCTCCCTCCAATGGAGTACAGTTGTTGCCTGACAGAACTTTTGTTCATAGACATTATGTTGGAAAAACCACTTCTTACTTAACTTTGAGATTCCTTTCTCTTGTTTTACTTGCTTTGTTTGCTGAGCCATATACTGTGTATAATTACTACAAGACTCTGTGATAACCCTGCTGCCAGTAAACGAAGACAAGACTGAATCTCTGTAAGAGTGTTCAACTTTAAAAAGGGAGAAGTAATTTTTTATTTACTCATACCTCCCTGCTCCCTTGCCCAGAAGTTGTTCCATGGTTGCTCTGCAGTGGAGCACATTTGGCTTTCCATAGTAGGCTGCCTTTTTTCCTCATGGGTGCATGAGCGTGCTGAGGAGCTTTGCAAAGTTCTTGTGACTTGGATTAGAGCTGTTTGGAGTGCCAGATTTGGTCACCCGTTTGACATACAATAAATTCAACCACTGCTAACATTTCAAAATCATTCTGCTGGGATTGTTTCAGGACACAAGAATGTTTCCCTCATTGCCATGTGGCCTAATTTCTTATGACAAAGAGCTTTAGCAGCAAAAAACACTGGTGTGAATATAGCACCTGCACACATTCACATTTAATGTTCATGGGCCGCTAGAGATGGTATTTAAAACATACACCGAGGAATGCTTGCGGTCAGATTTTGCTATTTAATGGAAGGCTTCTGTGAATACTATAGTGGTGTTATGTTTGTGTTTTATTCTGCCTTTTTAAATTTTTTTTTTAAGAATACACAGGGGAATAGCCAAGCTGTGAGGCTGATGCTTTCACATAGCTGTTTTCAATAACTTACATCAGGTAACTCACAGCTTACAAGCCTTGTTGACTTGATGTTCCCCCCAAGGAGTGTGAAGAGCACACCCTGCCTTTGGGATAGGTGACCTGATGGAGGCAGGAAGATCCCTCACCTAACGGTTCTGCCTCTCTTGCCAGTAGACCTGTTTTGCAGGATGGGAAGTGATCACACGTGATCCATAGAGACTAATGAGAGTTTTTTTTCAATGTCAGATGTCATGCTTTTAGTAATTGGTCCTCACAACTTTGCCAAATAAATAAATGAGAATTTCTCACATTTTGGAGCATGGGTTCATATCACTTGATACTGCCTGAGCACTTGTTGTCTTCACTGTCCTCACCTGCCCGCATCTGCTTTCTCCAGAAATCAGGTTGCCAGAGCCCACTTTGGCATTTGAGGGGGAGCCGTGGTGACGACTGTGCTCCATCCAGCTGATTTACAGCCAGAAATGATTCTTTTGTGTAAAGAATGGGTCCTGCAGGTGATCCCTGCCACTGCAGACATCCGTAGATGCCTCTGAGAGGGAACTTTGGCTCCTTTGGGGCAGGGTGGCCCTGTGCTGCCCCTTGTTCCCCGTGGCACGCTGAAAACAAGATTTAAGCCTGGGGGTTCCCGCTGCTGCAGCGTATTTACAGCTGAAGGGCGGGCTGGCTGGCTGTTACTGCCGTTTGCTGTGGTTTGTCATTCTGTGCTGGTAGAAATGAGGGAAAGTGATGTATGCTGCTGCCCTGAAGTGGCTTGCAGGAGAAATGGGGGGAAAAAAAAGAAAAAGCTCCAACTCTTCATGTATTCTTGAATCACGCAGTTTGATGTCTTGTCACAATGTAGCTGCATCAGCCCATACTTCAAAGGGAAAGGTCAAGTCATGCTAAAATCTCACTTTTCCCAAACTCTCTGGGTTTCAGATATTGCCTCCCCAAACACTCCA